ACTCAAAACTTTGAAGGGAAATTAATTCAATTCATTACCGTACGTCGTTTTAGTAAAGGGATACATTTATTGAGAACAACCGTGTGGACTCTTCGGTTTATTAAACTAACCCATAGAAGAGAATTCCTTGGTTGAGATCATTGTCTATTAAAGGAAATTACATGGTCAAAACTATGATGCAGCGAAAGGAATACTGATTAGACGTGCTCAATCGGTAGAATCACAGAAGAGGAAATAAACACATAGGGCCTGTACCGAGATGAAACTAACAATCAAGAAGTCGAATCTATTTTTATCAAATCATAACATCACTAATGAGCTTCTTTAATATTATATGCTAATGATAATGGCAGTGATGATATTGAAGGTCAAAAATTTAATGAAATTTGTATAATAAAGTTTTTCATTATTTCCACTGCTTGTTGTTTCTATCTTCCTCCCGCTCCTCCTGGTGGCCCTTTCATTCCTTTCTCTCCTTTTTCACCTTGAGGTCCTTGCACTCCACGATGCCCAGGAATACCCTTTGGTCCTGGAGGTCCTCGGTTTCCAGCATTTCCTACCACTCCTTGAGGTCCTGGCAGTCCTTGAGGTCCTGGCAGTCCTTTATCTCCATCTTTTCCATCCGGTCCTCTCGATCCTGGCTGTGGTGGACAACCCTTAAATAAAATTTACGCATTCTTTACAGATTGCTTTCAATAACACAGTTTCCGTCTTAAATACAATTTATGAGGGACTTACTTGAAGCAGGAAAACGGTACAGATAACCAGTAACAAAGCACTGAGAGGATGCATTGGTACTGATAATCGAAATTGATTATGCGCTTAATGCCTGAAAATTTTCAAATTTCCTCACAAATCTTTTGATCTCTTGAAGTTTTGTGTTTTAAATTTTACAAAAAAGTTGTTTAAGATCTTTTTCAAGACCATTCATTGATAAAAGTCTTACATGGATGGAACTTTTCTCTTATTTACACTCTTTAATTAATTAAGGAAAATCGCAATCAAATAATTAGAATGCGGAAATTCGGGTCGAATGATTATGAGATCATTGGATGTGAAAAAAAGGTTTTTGAGACTTAAATTGGGATTTAATGAGGCAAATTTTGACAAGAATTTTTCATTTATATTAGAGATAGAATGTCTGATACCAATCTTTCCGGAATTCATAAAACAAAGAAATATTTCTAGAATTCTTTTGTGATGGTCATATCAAATACGACAAAATACAATATTAAACGATTATTGGTGATATCTATGAAAGCTAAACGAACCTATTTATGCGATGATTTAAAGTGAACGGAAGGAAGATTCGGTCAACTGTTAGAAGATCAAAGATTGATAGGGAATCCGGAAATATGGATAGAAGAACAAATTTTGAACTTTCGAGGAACAAAAGTGATTTGGGAATCTGATCGTGTCGATTATAGATTGGTTGTTCTTCAGAAGTTTTTGAAGTTCTTTACTTCTTTTTTGTAACTTCAACTGAAATTCAAGTTTAACCTTTTAGAATGTGCGAAAGAAATCGTAATATTATTAATTATCACTTTCAACTGTTCTCTGATGATTTCAATTGAAGAAAAGCTTTCATCAATATAGCGTGAGGAAAATAGATTTCGGATTTTGCTTAAAAGCTATCAAAAAGGTCAAAACAATCTGTCATTTTGTTTGAAGCTTAATTTGGCAAAGTTGTCTGAAGATTTAACTGTAATTATGTGTTATTATAAAATGCATTTGAAATTACTGCAAAATGTATTAATCAAAATTATGTATTTCATGGGATAAAAGATCCTTTCAGGAAACTTTAAAATAAAATACAAATGCAGCCGACAATTGAGCTCATCTAAATTAAAAATTTTAAAAACATCAAGCAAAGATGAGTAATATATACACAAATACTTTTATTAAAATCAAGATTAAAATTTGATCAATTTTGCTCTAAGTAAAGATCAGTGACGCTATTCTTTTTGATCAATCCTCTGCTTCATTATCAATGATATGAAATATTTGAAGGAAACTTAGAAGTTTTCGTTCACTGTGTATGCAGCCAATTTGGGGCTCTTTGTACTAATACGTCTTTTCGGCATTTCCTTATTGATTATTTACGCTATATTCGAAATCAATTCTTAAATAAATTGTTCATAGGTCAGAAAATTTCAATGTATTTTTGTACATGAAACTAATGATAGTTTTAGTTTCAGGCTGTGCAACGTTCGAAGCATCCCTAAATGCATGGAATTCCGTTTGCAGTGAAGATGTTATCGTAAATCCTGACAAATCTATCACTCTTTGGCCACTCCTCAATTAATGCATTCTAGTGTTGTACAACTTTTTTATTTAAAACTTGATTTGTTTTCTTTTTTCATTTAAAACTTGATTTTTGTTTTTCTTTATGGAATTTGTTTACAAACATCAAAGCATAAAATTTGAATTTTATAAAGCAAATGCTTTATTATACTTTACAACTTATTACTGTGAATGGAATTTTATAAACCAATTTTCAAATTTGTTTTCCAATTTAATTAAAATTTTTGAAATACTTCAAATGTGTATTTCAACTTGGAATGCAAAACATTCGAATTAATACAAACAGCACCAATTGTACTCAAAGATTGAATTTTTTGCTTTGTTTTGTCGTTTTGGAGAAGTAATACCGGTAAGTGCATAAAGTAATCCAGAATATTCGTTACATTGAAATATTCCACATCGCAAAAATTTACGGCATAATGAGATGTTGCAGGGATTTATTTGTACCGTAAGAAATTATTATTAAAGGACTAAATAAGGATCATTACGAAAGAAACAAATAAGTATCGGTAATGCTGGTCTTAAGGCTTATTTTAAGTGGGCAGTTTGTTAAGAGAAAATTGAGACCATAGGACTTGAAGTAAAGGACATTTGTTGAATAAAGAAGGATGGAAGTGTTAATTAAATAAAAGAGAAATAACTGAAAATGAAGTTGGAGGATTGAATGATAAGAAGAAACGAGTTTGTTTAGACTGTAACAACTTCAAAGAGTAAATCAAATTAATGCAAATTTATGTCAGACTGCATCACTGAACAACTGTCATTTGATGACAGATCTCATTTTGTCACAAGGGTGATAAAGCTATTAGTCGTTTTGCTAGTGACTTTGATAAATTAATCAATGCGATTGGATTGATTTAAGATTGTAAATTATAACAAAAAGCAATTAATCAGCAGAAAAACAAAAGATCATTTATATTATGAATAAAAAGTTAAAATTAATAAAATTATGAATCGATGAAAGGACTAATATTGTAATTACAATTAAATTCGATTTTATTTTTGTCATTTCACGGTTACAATTATAATGCAATAATGTTCAGTTCGTATGGGAAAACCGAAATAATTATGTAATATGAAAGAGTTAAAATTACTGAATTGTCATGCATAGTTACAATTATTTGAAGCATTGTTTTAGTTTGAAGAGAAATTTAATGGAATCACTATTGCTCTGTTAGAAAATATTCACTAAATAGATTAATAATGATTGTTATGATTTAAAGCAAAAAATGACGAACAGAAGCTATAGTAATAAAAGGATGGTTGATACTGTAATTGTCGTAATGATCTGTGGAATTTGTAGAATACTATAATAGAAAGGTGTGAGAATGAACAAAATGTAGTAACTAATGTTTTTTAAATAGTTAAATTAAATAGTTACAGGAAATTTGCTTATTCGGTTACGTTGAAATTTTAAGCACTCAAAATTCAGGTTAATACCATTTTATATTTTAAGGCTAGACGAAAAGACTTGTATCGAAATCAACAATGCATTACCCCATGATGCGAAAAATCAATATGCCAATTATCTGAAAGTACATTTTTAATTTTCAGAACTTTAGGAACTTTTAGAACATTTTTTAATTTTCAGAACTTTTCTTAAATATAGTTATTTTCAGGGTCATAACTTATCCGCTATTTCATGTTGAATCAAAAAGAATTTTCAATGAATCCAGCAGAAACTTCAGGTGAGTATTCAGATGATGAGTCATTTTTGGTCTTTCCAGATTTAAATCTATTAACCTGTATTAACTTTATTAGTTTATATTAATTCTGTGCTGATAAGCAACTTTTCAGTACCAATACATATCGAAGAGACTGAAGAAGCAACTGAAGTATTTAAAGCGATAGATAAATTATAACAGTTGAAACAGTAATAAAAAATTCCCTTTTCTCATTCTTTTACAATGTTTGTTTTTAGATATTTTAATGTTATCCATCTTCAACTTCGTAGTAGTTTTCATGTTAGTAATAAAATTTTGTTCAATTTCTGCACTTTTTATAGAACGATAAGAATTATGTACCATTTTAAATTATATATGTACCATTCTAATGGAATCAAATTATGTACCATTCTAATGGAATCAAACAGATGATTGATTAACAAGTAGTATTGGTAAGTATTATATGTTACAATACGCTTTTTTAAAGAATGAAATTTCCAGATCTATTATTATCGTTTGCTTTTTTATTACTGTAAAAGGAAATTTTCCTCAAACTATAACACTGCATGATGAATGTTTTGGCAGAGCTAACAGAATGATCAATGTGATCAGAATTGAAATAATTGAAGATTGGATCACAGAAAAAAGACAGCTAAATATTAGAAAAGGCAAGAGATTCCTTACAATAAGAATAAAAAGTTAAATTTATTGAGTATGCTATAAATCGATCAAAGAATTGACTTTGTAATTATAATTCCGCGTGCGGAAATTGGTATTATAATTATATTTTAATGAGCAAACAGACAAATTGATTACATTATAATTTGCTTTCGTATTAATTAACGGAAAAGTAGTACTGACATATTAGCCATTAATACTATGCAATTTCTGCCTGATTTTAATACTACTATACACAACGGAGGCAAAATATTTTATTTCAAAATCAATCAAATTTTGAGAAATTTTTCCTTTTCAAATTTAATAATAACATTGTGATTCGAAAATATACAAAGCAAATTTTGCAAAGCACTGATAGCATTTTCAGGTTACGAATGTTATGACACAATAGGAAAGGAATATCAGTGGTAGACTGATGCACACAAAATAACTAAAACGAAGAAACCGCGATTGCGGGGATTGCGCCGATATCTCCATTAAATTCTGCTTCTTGTTGCTACTATCCAGACCGCATCATTCCTATGGTTTCCTGTGACTCTCGTTGATCAGTCCTTTTGGTCCTTTTTCTCCTTTATCACCTAATTCACCTTGCTCCTTTGATGGTCCTAGTACTCCTCATATCCCTTCTGAACAACTATCTCTACCCACATTCCTGGCTCTCCTTGAATTCCATCCCGGCGATCTTGCTCTTATGGTCCTCGCGGTGCTTCCGCCCTTATCATGGGCCACAAGCCTAAAATAAAATTTGCAAATAATTGAAAGATGGGACGTTTTTCTTATTTACACTCCTTCTAAAGGGTTGTAAATTGATATGCCGTAATTTAAAAAATCCGCTGAAAATTTATAATATCGTCAAAAATATTACAAAAGGTTTTACTATTTAAATTGAAAATCAGTAAAGTTTCGGCGAAAAACTTTCTACTTATATTGCGAAGTTCGATGTTTGATATGAATCACTCTAAAATTCACGAAGCAAAAAAACATTTCAAGAATTCTTTGTGGAATAATCATATCGAGTGCAACAAAGTGCAATCTTAAGTGGTTATTTACGGTATCTATGGGAGCTAAACGGATCTTTTTATGCGATGGTTTAAGATGAACGGAAAGAAGATTCGGTTAACTGATAAAAGATTAACGATCGATAGATCAATGCGGGAGGTGAAAGGAAGAACAGGTTTTATATTTCCAAGAAATAGCAGTAAGTTGAAACAGTGAAATAGTCCTTTTCAGTGATATCGGCTTTATTTTCTATCAGACCCATCCGATCCTAGCAGTCCTGACTCTAGGTTTCTCATCTGTGATGGAATTCATGCCTGAAAAAATTCTTGCATATTCGGTATCCTAACAGAGGTTACATTAGAACATAATCTTTATCAATGACTCAGTTGACAGATAGAAAATCAGCAGCTGATAGAGAATGTGGGGGAAAATGTGTGGAAAAAGAGCTGCGCGGAAAAAGAACTTCCTATCGACTTAATGTCAATCATCTTGCCAAGACTGATTTCATCATCACAACCTTCTAATTTGTGTTTCGCAAAATGATCCGATCTTCCAACTATCCCAGACGCTTGCAAAAATGAGAATAATCCGATTTTCTGTCAGTCAATTGAATCTTCCTTCTGTTTGTTTTAAATCATCAATAAAAAGGTTTCATAGATACCGACAATAATCATATTTTGTTACATACTTTTTATATGACTACTACTCCACAAAGAATTCCTGAAATTCTTGATTTCTCTGTTTTGTGAATTCCGGAAAGATTGATAGCGGACATTACACTTTTTATATAAATATAATACTTCTCCTTGAAATTCGCTCCATCAAACTTCATTTAAGTCACATTTTATTCTTTACCAATCGATTGCGATTCGTTTCTTATATTTCCGAAAATATCATAACTTATCAGACTGAATTTTTTAATTTTCATTCAAGAACGATTTGTTCGGAAGGTTGAGAAACATAAATAAGAAAGAAATTCCATCCATCTAAAAGTTCTATTAAAGGTTTAATTTTCTGAGAGATCTTAAATATCACTTTTGGCACTCTTTTGTTTTTCATTCTTCATAAAACTTGAAGGAGTCAAAAGTTCTAAAGTTCGACATGAAATTGAAGGAATTTCAGCTCTGTACACACAGCCAATTTCAGATCGTCATTACCGATGCATCTTTTTGATATTTTCCTACTGATTATTAGCGCTATTTTCGTGGTCCAGGTAAGTTCCCCATAGATTTTTTTTATAGTACTGAGTGATTTAAGGCATTTTTGCAGAATTTAAATCTATTAACCTGTATTAACTTCATTATTATTAGCAAATTTTTTCAGGCTTGCAACCCTTTAAGAGGAACACCAGAACGAGATGGACGGACGGAAGTCCGTTAAATCCTTGCAACATCTCATTATGCCGCAAATTTTAACGATGACGACTATTTCAATATTTCTAACCAATGTTCAGGGTTATTTAATGCACTTACTGGTATTAATTCTCCAGAACGAGAAAACAAAATAAAAGATTCCATGAAGCCCGATATCAATTTCAAGTTTACGAATTTCATGAAAAGATCTAAAGAAGGCAACGATAGGTTGGCGCAAACAAAATCAACCAAAATATGAGAATTGATATCACTGAGAGCAATTGTTTCGATATCTTCTAAATAAATTTCATTGCCTGCTACTTTTACCCTGCTGCTCCCATTGGTCCTCTAGGTCCCACGTCTCCTTTTTCACCCGGTTCTCCACGCAGTCCTTGTAGCCCAGGCACTCCTTTTGGCCCGACCTCTCCGCTCTGTCCAATCGGTCCTTCCGGTCCTCGAGGTCCTACTTCTCCTTGCAATCCCG